CCCCGCTGCTCCTTCACCTTCCACTGCGCTGGTCAGTGAGGGGGGGGCTCCCCTGGGACCCCCCAAACCCCCCCCCGATCTGAGGTTTGATGTTTTTCCCCCCCAACATTCCCAGATTTCGAGGGTCGCTCCGTCCGCAGCTCCATCGAGTTCAACCGGCTCGAGCCCCGGGCGGGGAGGGGGGGGGGGCTCTGCTGCTCCCCCCGGCACCGAGGGGCCCATGGTGAGGGCAGGGAACCCCCCACCCCAAAAAAAAAAACCCCTGGGGAGGGGAAAAACCCAGTGGGAGGGACCCCCACCCCAAAAAAACCCAGTGGGAGGGACCCCCACCCCAAAAAAAAAACCCGCTGGGGAGGGGAAAAACCTGCTGGGAGGGGCAAAAAAACCACTGGGAGGGACCCCCACCCCAAAAAAACCACTGGGGGTCTCCCCCCCTTTTTGGGATGGGTTTAACCCCCTCCTCCGACCCCGGGGGGGAATTTGACCCTAATTTTGGGGCCGGGGGGGGCAGGTGGAGCGGAAATGCCCCCGCTGTGGGCACGAGGGGATGTCCTACCACACCCGGCAGATGCGCTCGGCCGACGAGGGGCAGAGCGTCTTCTACACCTGCCCCCGCTGCAGGTGAGACCCCCCCCAAATGAATAACCCCCCCCGGGGTGTGGGGACACCCCCCAGACCCCCCCCTATAACCCCCTTGTCCCCCCTCTGCCCACAGGTTGCAGGAGAAGGAGGATTCCTAAAAGAATTCCTAAAAGAATTCCTAAAAAAAAGGGGTTTGGGGGACAATAAAAGCCCCCCCGGGGGGTATTTTGGCAATTAAAGCCCCCCCCTCCATGAGGGGTGTTTTTGGGATTTGGTCGTGGGGGTTTTTGTGTTGGTTTTTGGGATCCCCCTCCCCTCAAATTTGCCCCCCCCGGGTTTGTATTTACATTATTTGCCCCCCTTTGTCATTTTTTGCCCCCCATTGGTCCTCGAATTGCCCCCCCAAAGTTGCCCCCAAACCTCTGAACTGCCCCCGAAATTGCCCCCCCAGCCCCATCTGAACCCGCAAAACTGCCCCTAAACCTCCGAACTGGCCCCGAAATTGCCCCCCAGCCCCACCTGACCCCCCCAAAACTGCCCCCAAGCCTCTGAAATGCCCCCTTTTCCCCCCAAAATTGCTCCCCACACACCCTGAATTGCCCCCCCCAGCCCCATCTGACCCCCCCAAAACTGCCCCC